CTAAGCCCTAAACCCTAAGCCGCAAGCCCCCGACCCTTAGGAGGGCCTCCTTCTCGCGCGGCGTGCTGGCAATGCTTCGTTCCTTGGGGACAATATGACGGTTTAGGGTTCAGGGTTTATGGTTTAGGGTTTAGGGTGTAGTGTTTCGGGTTTAGGGTTTAGGGTTTAGGGTGTAGTGTTTAGGGCTTTAAGTAGGGGGCCTTATACCCTTATACTATGACTCCCTATATTCTATATGAACCTGAAACCCTTTTGGGGTTCATTTCGTCCTCAAGGTTGGGACCCAAGAGTTTTTCGGGTTTCCCTAGGTGAGTTCACTTAGGGTTTAGGGTTTGGGATTAGAGTTAAGGTTTTCGGGGTTTAGGGTTTAGAGTTAAGGTTTTTGGGGTTTAGGGTTTAGGGTTAGAGTTAAGGTTTTCGGGGTTTAGGGTTTAGGGTCAAGGGTTTAAGGGGTTTAGGGTTTGGGGTTTAGGGTTTTAGGGGTTTAGGGTTTACGGCGTAAACGGTCTTACACGGTCTAAGACTTGAGCATTGCTCTCCGGGCCGGTTCAGACTATGGCTGCATGGACTTTCTTTTATGCCCCGTGGCTTAAATGATGCACCTCCAATCAGAATCTCAGAACTGCTACAGTCCAAACCCCGAAAAGAACTTACAGCCTCTTCTTCGAAGTCCTAAGATTCTCCACAACCCGAAGCCCGTTCATACACAATCGCAATCCCCAAGTCACAAAAGCCTTCACCCCACACCTAAGACACGAATTCTAAGTCCACTAACACTACAAAGCAGTTAATAAACTCAGTAGCTGGAAATAGATTTGAGTTCAAGCCGAAGACACGCTGGCCCCTCTCAGCCCCACCGCATCAACCGGCTCCCAGTCCTGAGTTGATTATTTAAGTTCAACTGTATACGAGCCTACCATGCCACACCACATCACACCATACCAGACCACGCCATGCCATACCATACCCATTCCCATACCCATACCCATACCTACACCCGTACCCATGCCCATAACCGCGACCCGTATCCTCAACCGTATTCATACCCATACCCAGACCCCATACCTGTTCCATGTCCTACCATCCCCATCCCCATCCCCATACCATACCAGACCAGACCATACCATACCCCGAAGCCGGACATCCGAAAACTTAATACACTATGCCCCAAGTACATCCCAAACCCGAACTCCTCAACAAAGCTTGAATCAACAACCTCAAAGCCTTAAGACTTAGACTTGCACACACGACGAAATCAGCACCTTTTCCTTTAAACCCCCCAAGAACCCCTGATAGCCCAGAGCCCCCAAAATCCCCAAACAACTCGAACCACCGAGGCCTCTCAGGGTTTAGGGTTTAGGGTTCATATAGAAGCCGAAATATTTGCAGACCTCTTATTCTAATTAGTATTACACCTACATCCATGGTGTAAGCTTTACGGGATCTAGGGATATTTCGGGCCTGAGGGGGGTTTGAAGGTAAGTTTGAGTCTTTGTAGGAGGTGAGAGTTGTTGCCGCAGGGCCTTTTTGGAGGGCTTAGTGTTTTTTCGAGGAACTCTTATATAAGGGAAGACTAGGCCTAAATCCCTAAACCCCAAACCCTAAACCCTAAACCCTAGACTAGGCCGCCCCTCATCCCAAGGTGCTTGGCGAAGGGCCTGCATGCAGCAGCGATGGCCCGAGCCTTAGCTTTGAGGTCGAAGCTTCGACCTACTGGTAGAGGGTTTACATAGGTTTAGGGTTTAGGGTGTAGGGGTTTAGGGTTTAGGGTTTAGGGTTTAGGTGTAGGGTTTAGGTGTAGGGTTTAGGGTGTATATAAGGGTTTAGTGTTTAGGGTTTAGGTGTAGGGTTTAGGTTTGGGGTTTAGGGTTTAGGGTTTAGGGTGTAGGGTTCGGAGTCTCCAAGGGTTCCCTGAGTCAAGGGATGATGAAGAACACCGTAGAAAGCTTGATGAAGCCTTCTGCCAGGGTTTCTTGATCATGCTCTTTGATTAGTAACATCCTAGTTACCCTAAACCCTATAAACCATAAACCCTATACCCTAAATCCCAATTAGCCGAAACCCTTAACCCTAAACCTTAAATCCTAAACCCTAAATCCTGAATCCTAACTAGCCTGAACCCTAAGCCCTACAATCCTAATTAGCCTAAACCCTAAATAGCCTAAACCCTAAATCCTGAATCCTAACTAGCCTGAACCCGAAGCCCTACAATCCTAATTAGCCTAAACCCTACTAAACCCTAAATGCCCTAAACCCTAAAGTAACATACTAATTACCCTAAACCCTATAAACCCTCAACCCTATATCCTAAACCCTAAATCCTAATTACCCTAAACCCTATAAACCGTAAACCCTATACCCTAAACCCTAAATCCTAATTACCCTAAACCCTATAAGCCGTAAACCCTATACCCTAAACCCTAAACCCTAACTAGCCTAAACCCTATAAGCCGTAAACCCTATACCCTAAACCCTAAACCCTAACTAGCCTAAACCCTAAATGCCCTAAACCATCTGGAGTGAGCTCTGGGACTCTACGGCCTTTCTCGGGCTTCGAGCTTGAGGACTTTGCAGTTTGGCGCTTTCCGGTTTATGGGTCTGGGTTCGATTTTTTTTAGTGTTTTGTACATGGGGTGGAGGGGTAATGTAGGGGCCTTAATAATTACCTATACTATTTTGGGGGTTATAGTATAACCTACCCCAAAACCCTATTCTATTTATGAAGGCAGATACATTACGTTTTTAGGGTGTTGGTGTGGTGGTTTTCGGACAGTTCGCTGGACTTTTAACCTGGGGCCTGGGGGGAATGGCGGGTGTCGCTAAAGCTGTCAAGCGCATGCTAGTTAGGCTTAGCCGCTTAGCTTGCAGCTGTTACTGGTACTCTATAGCACTGCACTTTGGAGCTTGATGTGCAGGACGAGTTACTCTAACAGTTAGACTTGTGTTGGAGCGCTCCAGCGAGTTTCATTTCTATAGTCTAGTATGGAGAATAGTGTACCATACTGTTGATGATATAAATCCTGCATTGCCTTAAGGACCCTACGTTATGGGAATTATGGTGTATCTCTTATTATGGGTAATGCAGGATTTATATCACCAACCGTAGTATATCCCCCAAGTCATTTCCCAGGCTTCACAATTGCATGACTCAGGTGCAGCTACAGCGGAGTAACTACGAGAATGCTTTGCAGTGCCTCGGCGGTTTGAGAGAGTCTCAGTCGAAGGTTTAGGGTTTAGGGTTTAAGGTTTAGGGTCCACGGTTTAGGGTTTAGGCTTTAGGGTAAAGTTCTAGCCCATGTAGGCTTACTGCTTCAGGGGTTATTGCAATGTAGAAGCCTACATAGTCACCAAGGCTCGTTTCGGGCTCCTTAAATCTATGCATATGAAAATGTACCCAAAACCTCTATCCCAAGTACTAAGGCCCCTGTTACTAGCCTCAACACTTGAAGGGTTCAGCCCTAAGTCCCTAAATTGAATGTCGACGGCTTGGTGTCGGTTGGGTGCTTTTTAGTACCCGACGAAAGCTTTCAGCCCAGCCCAGCGACTTCCAGCCGCTTAACCCGAAACCCCAAACAGTCAACCACAACACCCTCAACCCTAAAACCCTGAACCACAACACCCAGAACCATCCTACCATCCTAAACCCTAAACCCTAAACCCTAAACCCTAAGCCCTAAACCCTAAACCCTAAACCCTAAACCCTACCATCCTAAACCCTCAGACCCCAAACCACAACACCCGGAAGCCGGAATCCTCGACCTACCAATCCCGGAAAGACCAAAACCTTTTCTCCTTCAAGCTGCCGACCTAATCCCTAAACGCCTTAACCCCTAAACCTCTTAAGCCCTAATCCCAAAAGCCTCATCCCCAAACCCTAGTCCCTGCTAAACCCCCAGATTTGCGCACCCCCCCGAAGAGATCTTTGGCTCCAGCTGGGTTCAGAGGAGTGGCGTTCGGGTCCTTTAAGAAGGCTTTAGGGCTTAGGGTTCAGGGCTTAGGGCTTAGGGTTTAAGAGGACAGGGTGTAGGGAAGACAGACGATCGTTGTGGTAATTTGCCATCCTCCTCTCGGGGTAAGGTTTTCCTTATGTTGAATGTTTGGCCCCTGTTCGCATAACTATGACCTCATGCATCTCTAATCGTTTCAGTGTTCAGGCTGACTTTGCGTTTGGGGCCAGGGGTCAGGGTCGGGTTTGAGACGGCCTTCAAAGGGGTGCTGGCGGCAGATATAACACAGAGCCATGGTCGAGGAGACGCAGCCGCAGAATCCAGGTGTTTCTTGAGCATGAGATTTAATGTTTCGTGAAGTTGTACTGAGAGATGCATATGAGACGGAACATATTTGAAGCTTTCTAGTTTTCCTCCTGCAACTTTGAACCCTAATTTCTAACCCCTAAAGCCCTAAACCCGAAGCCCTAAACCCTAAACACGCAAGCCCTTACCCCGAAACCCGAAACCCCTGCAAGAAGAGCCCAGGAAGCTTTTGACCGTCTGGCTGCTCTCGGGAGCGAGATTGGACGCCGTTTCGCTCGAAGAGACGGGGCTTCAAAACGTGGCCGAACCTTCGGCTCCGGTTTAGGGTTTAGGGTTTAGAGTTTAGGGTTTAAAGGTTTAGAGTTTAGGGTTTAGGGTTCAGGGTTCAGGGTTCAGGGTTTCGCGTTCAGGGTTTTGGGCTTTAGGGTTAGCGCAGCTAAACCCTAAACCCTGAGACCTTTGTGGGGGTCTCTTGGAGGATCTAAGTAAGTTGTTGTAGTTGGGGGTATTGCATGGTTCAGGGTTTAGGCTTTATTGCTACCCTAGCTGGGGCCATCTTACGTGTAAGTGTAAGCCTTACTGGTACCCGACTTGCTAAGTCTCCTGATCTGCCAAGTACACAAATCCGTTGCAGATACCAGATACAACTCCTAAACCCTAAACCCTAAACTAAACCCTACTTCTCCCGGACTTCTCCCCAAGGCCCGAGGCAGCTTCCCTGAACAACCCTGCAGGCTCTAAGCCCCAACCGTCAACCCTGAACTACGGTTTAGGGTTTAAGGTTTAGGGTGTAGGAGTTTAGGGTTTAGGGGTTTAGGGTTTAGGGTTACCCCAGCATCCCAGGTAATTAGGACCCTTTCTTAAGCTTGGGAAAGCAAGGAACTCAAGAAGCATCTGCAGCAGTCGTGCGGGCTGCCTCCCTTCCTTCAAGCACCTCGCTTCTCCATGGTTCGTAACAAGGATGCTACAAGTTCAGGAGGTTCAGAGTTCAGGAGGTTCAGAGTTTAGGGGTCAGGGTTTAGGGGTTAACTCTTGGAAAGGTGTTCAGAACTTCCCCAAACCCGAAAGCCAAGGCACTTCTGCACGACAATGCGCTGCTCGAGGACTCCGCCAGCCTCGATGCCCTCGCTGACCAGGACCTACAGCTTGCACTACTTCCGCTCTCCGAGAACAACTTCCACAGAGACTTAACCAGCAGGTGAGCAATATTTTTCACTTAGCTGCCACACGTGTAACCTCTATCTTGGTTCCAGCTCGTGAGTCAGAACATCACCTATCCCGTCACATGAGGTCCGTGCGTGAAGTGTTTTCGTGTAGGAAACTTGAACAGGCGACCCTGAATACCCATACCCCGAAAACATCGACGTATCACTGGACTGACACCTCCGAAACTACTTTTTCAGACATCCTGGGTAATGCCAACTTAAGACATCCTCCAACGGACAAGCGTGGAAAACAGGACAAAACTGTGCTAAACCCTAAACCCCAAAGCCCTGAACCGCTTCCAAAAAGGAAAGGAAGTCTGCCTCGGGCTTTGCGAAGCATCCGGCCGTGGCGAAGTGGAACTCGCCCGCATGCTGATCAATGCAAGGCGCCCGTGCTTTCAGTTTTGGCATTCCGGGTTAATATCAGGGCCTGGATAATTACCTATACTATTTTGGGGTTCCTTATTATGATTATAATATAGTATACACCCAAACCCTACTCTGATTATCAAGGCCCCTACATTAGGCAGTTTAGGTTTCATGGTTCAGGGCCTGGGGTATGTCTACATTACATTCTGAGGGGCTCCTTTCGGTTTAATGTAGGGGCCTTAATAGTTAGAATGGGGTTTTGGGGGTTCCTTAATCCTTATCATATTTATTAATTATGGTATGATATACTCCAAACCCTATTCTAATTATGAAGGCCCTTACATTAGACACGCATTCGAAGGCTCATGAACGGCAGTCGGTTGTATTCTCGAGGGTATCAGGGGATATTAAGGCCGTAACGCCCGCACTGCTTTTTGTGTAGGGCATCTGCATGGGTCTTCAAGGCTTTGTGTAGACGGGGCTCAGGAGAGCGTTCGTTTTCCTCTGGTCGGTTTTCCTTGGGGGTTCCCTAAACCCTAAACCCTAGGCCCTAAACCCTAAACCCTAAACCCTTAAGGCCCTTAACCGTGGTTCGTAGGGTCTTTTTTGTTTGTTTTTGGGGTGCGTGCTTTTGACGTATGCCCTCGGTTGGGGGCTCCGAGGTTGAGGGTCTGCCAAGATATTTCCGGTTTACCATTCTGTGGATCACGGCCTCTTTGTCTTCCTCAGGCGCATCTACGGAGTTTAGGGTTTTTCGAGTTTGTGGATGTCGGCGGTGTTGGGTTCAGGTGCCGGCTTTCCATAGCCATAGACGTATACTTTCGGGGATGGTGCGGGGCTTGAGATAGGCAAACCCTGTACCCTAAACCCTAAACCCAATACAGCCTAAGAGCTAAACCCTGAACCGCTCTACACCTATATAGCCCAAACCCCAAACCCTAAACCCAATATAGCCTGAACCCGAAACCCTAAACCGTTCTACACCTATATAAATAGCCCAAACCTCAAAAGCTTTTATAGGGGTTTTTAAGGGCTCAGCCGTGCTTTTGCGACTTCAGCTTGCAGTTAGGTCTTGGGATTTAGGCCTTTGGTTGGGGGTTCCGTGCTACACAAGGGTTTGGGGTTTGGGGTTTGGGGTTTGGAGTTTGGGGTTGTCTATAGTCTCCCTTGTAGCTCCTTATTTGGGGTTACCTTCTAGGGTCCTGAATAGGTGCAACCCAAACTTAGAAGGATTTGCCATGGAGATTTGCGGCAAACCTTGTAGCATCTAAACCCTGAACGCCAGGGCCGGCGTGAACGAATGGCACCCCTGGAAACACAGAGACCATTGTGCTTGCACAACGGCGATCCACGAGGCCGCTGAGGTGCGGGTTGTTCCGAACTTGGGTTTAGGGTTTAGGGTTTAGGATAGTAAAGCTCAAAACCAACCCTCCCACTGTCTGCCGACTAAGGTTGATGATATAAATCCTGCGTTACCCATAGGAAGGAATATGCCATAATTCCCATAGCTTAGGGTCCTTTATCAACAGTAGGTCTACTCCAACCCCTTAACCCCAAACTCGAAACCCCAAGCCCCACACTCGCAACCCTGAACCTGAAATAGCCTCTGAGGCTCCGGAGTAACCCTGGGTGCCGAACCTGAGTCCTGTGCGGAAGGCAGGGGACTTGGAGATCTTGCAGCTATTGCTCGAAGCCCAAGGCGATCCAGCTCTTGCAAGCCATCGGCGGCTCAAGGACACGCCGCTCATGATCGCATGTGACCAAGGCCGTTCGGATGTTGTGCGCATGCTCCTGAGATATCGGGCAGATGCCAACATGCCATGGCAAGACCACGGATCCCGGACATCTGCTCCTTAGTAGCTGAATTCGTAAAGTTCAGTATTTTTGGTGAGAGTACGACTCGTCTGAAGACCGATAGTTGAAAGGTTTTTGCCTCATGAACTCGGCAACGAAGGCTCTTTGCGTGGCGTCAGAGAACGGACATGTGGAGACGGCACGAGCACTCCTAGAGAGCCGGGCTGATGTGAATGAGGGGTTCCTAGGTTCCTGAGTAATATCCTTGTGCCATTCTTAGGGTTTAAGGTTCAGGGTTTAGGCTTTAGGGTTAAAGCCGAATCTTAGGACAAACGTATCCCTTCTTATTCCAGGTGTTAATGGAGAACCCAGGTTCTACACCGGCCCGACCTTGAGGAAGACGCCCTTGTGCCTGGCATGTGAAGGAGGCCATATCGAAGTTGTCACCCTACTTCTTGCATCCAATGCTGATGTAGAGATGTGCTTGCCTCTTAAGGCAGCAATTCGACACAAGCACCTTACCATCGTGCAGTTGTTGGAGGAACGAGGGGCGCCGAGATCAGCGCCCAAGTATAGCAATCACAGCCGGCGCCGGGACCGCAGAGCCCGTGAAAGCCAGCGGGCCCCGGATCGTGCCAACAGCCACAGGCTCCCTGCATCAGAAAAGGCTCTGAGGGTTTAGGGTTTCGGGTCTGCGCCCAGGGCTACTCACAGGACGGCAAGCCTGAATCTAGAAGAGGTAGAGCCCCTGATTTGGGACCCTATAATACTAAAGGTTACTCTATAGGAACCCCGCTGAAGGGACCTACTTTCTAGATTCCTCCCACCTGGGAGCCGCAGACTCCCAATCTTGCGCAGCCTCCTTCGGACCTGGCAGCCAAAAGAGGATTGATAAAGCCTGTCAGAACTACGCAGACACCCAGAAGGATCTGGAGAGTAGAACCCCTGACTTGGGACCCTAGACTACTAAGGGCTCTTTATAGGAACCCCCCATTAAGAAATCTACCTTTTTGGATCCTCCCGGTCTGGGCAGGCCAGGTAACCTGGTGCTTGACGGCCCAGGTGTTGCTTTACCCTTCAGGCCTTCAGGCTATCGTCACCATCACCTGCACCAGCACCATCGCATCAACAGCATCACCATCACCATCATCATCACCATCATCGTCATCGTCATCGTCATCCTCATCCTCATCATCATCATCATCACCATCGTCATCATCATCGTCATCACCGTCATCATCACCGTCATCACCATCATCATCATCACAATCACCAGGACACCATGATCCTCAGCAGCATCATCACCA